TCACTGCAGACATGGCGATGACATGATGTTTTCGTTCTCATTGCAAGCATGTGTTGCCCATATGCAAATGCATACCCCGTGCAGCATATGATGTAGTGAAGTGCGTCTGGCTGCGGACGGAGAGGCCGGAGTCTGAAAACTGACGCCGGCGACGCTGTCGGTACTGGCAGGGCCACGACTTGCGTGGTGAACTGGCCAGTTCGCCCCAGGAAAAAAGCAGCCACATTTACTGTGTCGCTTTCACAAAACACTGCCCCTGCGCAGTGTTTTGTGCCCTTCCAGCAGGGGCTCACGCTCAGGCGCGGGCAAACGATAGGGGTTGACCGTTATTATACCCACAATAGTCCCTTGTGGTACTGATTACTGGGTGGGGGATTGACCCAAGAGATCTGTGTTTGGGAAGTTTAGGGATTTGGGGGCTTTAGGATTGAGGGCTTGAAGGTTTAGGGTGTTGCAGGGGGTCCAAGGAAAAGACCTGAAAACCCTCAATGCCTGCACCGCGGAACCCCTAAACCCCTGAACCTTACGACTCCCAAGACTGCCAAACCCTAACCTTATAGGGTTTAAGGTTTAGGGTCTAGGGCTTAGGGGGTTATCCTAACTCGAAGGCCAGGGCGACCTGGTAAGCAAGGGAAAGGAAAATGGAAATTACTACGGTTTAGGGTTTAGGGTTCAGAGTTCAGGGTCAGCCAGATGTAGTAGGTAGATTAATCAAGGGGTTAATGGGATCATGATGCGGCTTATGGCAATCATAGCCATACTTACCCCTACTACATCCCCCCAACCCCTCCAAGCAACAACCCAAGGGATCTGTAAGGAGGTGGTAGGAATTATGGGGGAATCCCCATTAAGGATTCTAGATTGGTTGTTTTGAGAAACTCCCACATTCTCTGCATTCAAGACGCTGTCTCCCATCGTAGTGCTGGCTGTATCGTTCACGTCCTCTGCTGGATCTTATTGCAAGCGGTTTAGGGTGCGGGCAGTTCAGACCACGGCTTGTCGGTTGGAGCATAAACGCTAAATCCTAAACGCTTAACCCCAAACCCCAAACCCTAAATAGTAGTTTCCATTTTCTTTTCCACTATCCCTATATAACCCCAATATATCATAGTAGTTTCAAACCCTAAACCAGAACCCCTGAATTGAGTTTGGAGGTGTGGGGGCTGGGTGGGGCACTTGCCAGCGAGTACGAGCAGAGAAGGGCTCCAACTCCTAAAGCACTGCGTTGCGAAGCACGCCCTCAAATGCCGAACTGAACCTTGGGCTAGAGATCTGCAATCCCCACAGGCCCCGAAACACAACCTCCAAATCATTAGCCCTGATTCTTTGGAACCTCTCCAACCCTTGATGCCTAAGCTCTCCTTCCCTCCCTCTAACCAGAAAACACACCACTCCTATCATAGCACGCATTCCCTGAACTGCGCAAGTTTCAGACCAGCGGGCGGAAGCAAACTTCACCTCGCTCGAGACGTTGTCCTCAACTAGGTAACCCTGGGGCTCAATGTCTATAAATAATACCTACATTGGGTCCCAATGTCTATAAATAGTACCTACATTGGGCTATTTGGAGCCCTAGGTAACCCTTCATGCGCTTTCGGCAAGGGATTGAGGGTCAAAACTTCAGGGTATATGGTTTGGGGGCTTAAGGTTGGCGGCCAGGGTTAAGTTGGGTTAAGGCTTCAGTTTAGGGATTAAGGAGAATTTAGTTCTACGGATTTAGGGTCTAGAGCTTGCCATTCAGACAGAGTCTAAGATCTTTAAATCTACGAATCCATTCCTCTCAACACAACTCACAGGATCCACCAATGCCCCATCCAAAGCCTGATAAGAGGTGGTACACATCCATATTGCTTGGGAGCTTCAGGTTTGAGATTTCTGGGTTTAGGATGAATGCCCCAACCCTGACCTTAAACAGAGTCTAGGCTACCTAGCGCTGGGCATTTGGGCATAGAAAAGACCAATTTTTGGGGCTTAGGGTTTAGGGTTTTGGGCCCCTCCATCGCCAAAAACACTGCTCTTCATCATGAGGCCACCAAGCACGATGCATAGCTTGCCCGATAACCTGTAATGGCGGGGCATGCTACAAAGAACCGGTGTCACTGTGATCGGCATAGCCTCTGTGCAAACGCTTAACATCCCTAAACCCATAACCCTAAACTCTAAACTTAAAGCCTACCCTGGACGCAGAAGCCTGAACAAGAAGTGCCATACACCCTGAACAGCCCTTGCAGTTTACAGAGCCAGTACCTCTCCGCTACCTCGCCTGCACACTCCACAGAACAAACATGAAGCCTGAAAATGGACTCTACAAAGACGACTGTCGCACAATCAGGGGTCTATATGAAATCATGCTAGCTTTCGGGAAAATGCCGAACCCATCTCCTAAGCTCGAAGCCAAAAAAAAACCTTTGAAGCTTTAGACCCTTAACTCGTGGTTCCAAGCCCAACCCCACAAAACCAAAAAAATGAATGCAAAATCCCCACCAGCTAAACCCCAAACTCCAATCCTAAAACCAGAACCCCATGCCCTATAGACCCCAAACCCTATACCCCATACTACGCACCTTTAACCCTAAACCCTAAAACACCCTACAGTTTTACCAAGCTGTCCTGGCTCTGGGTCATGATACGCGAGTCCTCAACGTGTGGCGCTGGCGTTGCTTTGAGCCGGCCGACTCTGGGCGGAGACTTCTTGGAGGGGACTTATACTTTGAAAGGCCTGAAAGTAGAGTGTAGCGGTTTGGGTTTTAGGGTGTAAGGTTTAGATTTAGGGTTTAGGGTTAAAGGTTCAGGGCTTAAACTTTCGGGTTTAGAGTTTGGGGACACGTGGGGCCAGGGGGACTTCGTCAGTAGGTTAAGAATGGAGATAACTGCTGTTGTCACATGGCCTATACGACTTGTGAGTATGCTTGACAAGTCCCCTTGACCCTCCAAGTAGCGGATGAGGGTTTGGAGTTTAAGGCTTAAGGCTTTCCAAGCTTGGTGTGGCTTAGGGTTCAGGAATTGCAGTGGAAGGCTTGTGGAGGTAAAAAGTGTCAGGCCTTGTGATTGTACGACATGGGGTGTGCAGCCTCAAACTCAGGGTCAAGGCTTGTAGTTTGCTTTTGACTCTGTGAGTTTCTCTAGGGATTTAGGGATTTAAGGATCTAAGTTCGAGGTTTAATGTTTTAGGATCCTAGGTTTGGGGTAGAAGTGCAAGTTTCGGGTCTAGGGTTTAGGGTTCAGGGTGCAGTGCGAGGGAAAGGGGGGTTCTGATTTCAGTGAAGATTGGGTTGCGGGCAAAAATGTTCTATTCACACATCCTCGGAACCCTAAACCCTAAGCCCTAAAACCTAAACCCTTAAACCCTTAGTTGCAGAACTGTGCAGTCAGGGCCTGGGGTTTTACTCAGGCCAGCGCTTTGTGTGTCTGGGAACTCTAAACCCCAAACCCTGTTCTGTTGCTAATGGGTTGAGAGTTTAGGGTCTAGGGTTTCAGGTTTAAGGAGGATATTGCATAGTTATACCCTTACCTAGCATCTTAACTTCCCACGCTTTTTCTTCCTGAGCCCCCGGAACCAGACCCTCAGCTAGAAAACAGCCCCATACCAAAAACGAATCAGGGGTGTGGACATGAGGTGTCCTTTGAGAGGGGGGTTCTGTTCCGCAGGGTTAAAGAAAATTTTGGGGGTCTATATTAGGCCCCTTTTTTCAGAGATCCTCAGATTCCACTCCAGGACAGCAAACACCCTACACACACCAATGCAGGAACCACAAGGGACCGCACCCTAAACCTTGACCCAAGAACCTTCAACCTTACCACCTAACCCCTAAACGCTTCAACCCGTGAACCCAATACAATAAATGACAACCCCACGCTCCTTGACAATGTATATGTACATACAACTTTCTGATATATGTATATATTTATATATACTGGTACTGTGTGGGCGGGGGGTTTGATTCTAAAGGTATATACCCTGTATAAACCCACAGAAACGATGCCTTGGATGCCGCAGCATGTTTTTGCTTCTCGGTTTCACCAACCGCCGCAAGTCTCTGTCTATTGCGTCTATTAGAGAGCTCGAAGGGCACCCCGCGTGCAGCTAGAATGGTCCTTTGTGGACCGGCTCCAAGCACTAAGGGTTTAGGGTTTAGGGTTCGACCCATCTAGACGTCCTGAGTATCCATATGCATAGAATGACAATAGTGGAAATCAACCAAAACCTCTGCTAAGGAGCTTGATTTAAGTTAGTATACCGGGGAAACCATACCAACTACTGTATATACCCATTATGGTAACCCATTTAAGTTCCTAACCTAGACAAAGAGAATAATGGTTGTAGTAAGACATCTAACAGCCTGTATACCGGATTGGGAGGTCTAGGAAAACCCTGAACCTCGCACTCGGTCTGCCTATCTTCGGTCTGGCAAGTTACATACCTCCGGCAGAAACACGCAGTGTAGGGTTTAGGGTGGTGGGCCACCAGCTCCTCTATTGCAGTATACCTGTATAAGGGGAATTGACCAGGGTTTAGGGTCTCCCTAACCTCAACCCTCAAGCCCATGTAAACTTACCATTACTTAGGGTCCCCAAGTTTCCTTAATTCTAGAACTGTAAAATCAAAATGACACCCCCAAACCCCAAGTAATGGTAATAAACCCTAAACCCAGGTTTTAGGGTTTAGGGCTTTAAGGAAATCCTGCCGGGGGTGCCCCATGAGCCTCCACAAAGGCAGCTTCTCGAAGAAGTTGGTTGTTTAAGGTTTACCTGAACCCCAAAAGTAGGTAACATAATAGCCCAAGACCCCTAAATATAGCCCAAAAGGCCATTATTCTACATACTTTTGGGGTTCAGGTAGGGTTTAGAGTTGCCGTCTTCGAGAGACTCCTGCATCAGCGCGGCAGCAGTGTGCTACTGGTGAGCCACCTAGCTTCATCTTAAATTCGCGAACCGGTGCTCTCATGGTAAGGGGCTCCGGGTGAACTAGGCTTCAGCGTTTTGGACTCCTTGACCAAGGATATTACATCCCATGTGCTTCGGGACCGTCGGGATGGGTCTCCCAATTGCAAGACACCCCAACATCCTTATGGCTTATGAAATAGTCAGGCTAGTGGCCTCTTCATCCATTTTCCACATGCCTTACCTGCGTACAAACCCTGAGTAAGTGAGTACGACCCCCGCTTGACAATCTGGACCTGAAACCGTAAACCCTTATACCCAGCACTGAACCCCGAAAACTGTAACGAAGAAAGTGACATGAGCTATAGTCTAAACTCCTAGTATCCCCCTTAATAAGCCCTATAGTAATCCCCTACATAATCCCCTATGTAAGCCCCGTTAAGGAGTTTAGACTGTAGCTCAAATGTGAAGAAGCAGCAAGCCTGTAAACCCAAGGGTTCACTCAATCAGCTCATATGAGCTGCAGTCAACAGGCCCCTTTCTTTTCGGGCTTTAGGGTTTAGGGGTTTAGGGTTTGGGGGTTTAGGGTTTAAAGGTTTAGCGTTTAGGGGTTTAGGGTTTAGGGGTTTAGGGTTTAGGGTCTAGGGTTTAGCGGGTTTGGCGTTTAGGTCAATCTGCACGTCTCTTAGTCTGTTCTTGCACAACCGAATGCAGGCACTGTGCACCATGGAAAGGATCCCCACAACAACCCTACAAAAACAGACATCCCAAAATACAATAGTTCTAACACAAAAGAAAAAGGGGCCCCAAATTCTTGGACATTTCATGCAAGAGATAGAAAACTTTGATCATTTCTATATATCTGCAATACACGTTGAACTGTGCTATAGACTGATTTTAATATTGCCCATACGGGAAGTCTACATCATCAGTGCCTAGTCTCAGTATATACAGAATCCTCATATTCATGTACTTCATTTCCGTCTATACGTTTTATCGACCCTTAAATAACCTGGGGGCAGCGGTATCAGCACAGTACTCAGTTTGGAAATGGTCTACATGTTCCCTATTTAGTGTAGGAGCCAAAATAAAATTTGAGAAAGTGTTCTTGTGGTTACACTATTCTACAACTATACTGAGATTACGAGGACCCTTAACCCCAAACCAAACGTCAGGCGTCTACGTTATGTGAGCACCAGACCGACCTTTACGCACGGGGCCCGCCCAGGAATGAGCAGACAGCTGATACGGTGTAAGATAGAATAGTCGTATCAAGTAAGCAGGGCAAAATGAATAATTTTTTGGGCCTCTATACTTTAGGGGTTTAGGGTTTAGGGTTCCAGGTCTCACGCTTAGCGATAGGTAAGTCGCATTAGGCATTCTCAACAGTAGAGCGCTTAATATTCTGGGAAATGACGTCGACATGGGCATTTCAGAAAAGCTCGCTGCCCCTCCTCCTGTACCCCCAACAACAATCATCCTTATAATGGGCACGCTCAAAAATGGACCCTGAAGCTTAGAAAGCCACATATCGTGGGAGCAGTCAAAATTGGAAAGGGGCCTATAACTCCAAAGTGAGGAGTTCTTCTTGATCT